CAAAAAGCCTTTTATACCAACTTCTTTGTGTCAATTATGAATATATTTTCCTACTTCTTATTTATTTAGATTTTTTTTTAATGTATTTAGTACAGGGTCTCACTACACAGATGGGATTCCTAGTGATCCTTCCTGTTTTTTAGCCTCCCAAGCACTGGGATTACAGGCACATGCCACCACGCCCAGTCTCAGTTGCTGCCTCAGCAGACCCCAGGGGCGGAACTTGCACAGCAGGCCTGCTGGGGATCAAACCCCCACCCCTGCATCTACCCAAGCAGGCACTTTCATCTGCTGAGCCTTCTGGCTGGCCCTTAGATTCTTTTTGAGACAGGGTCTTGCTGTGTTGTTCATTCTGACCTTGAACTCACTATGCACCCCAGGCTGGGCTCAGACTTGGTAGCAATCCTGTCTTAGCCTCCTGACTGTTGAGATTACAGGCATGTGTCACCATGCCTGACTTCTTAGTTATATTATATGTAAATAGATTTTTAAAGTATTTTTAAAATTCTTCATTTCCAAGCTTAGTGGCATTCCTCAATTAGCACAGTTTGTGATTGTTAAGTACTGTAACTTCTTAATTTTTGTTTCTCTTTTTTTTTTTGAGACAGAATTACACTACATATCCCAGGATGGCCTTAAACTAGAGATAGCTCTGGCTGGCCTTGAATTCAAGACACTCTTCTGTCATACCTTTCTGAGGGCTGAGATTATAGGTGTGGGCCACTGTGCCCTGCTAATTCATCTTTTTTCCTCCTTTTTTATTTTTTAAATTTTTTTTTTACGTTTATTGTGTGTGTGTGTATGTGTGTGTGGCCAGCTCAGCCCACCAGGGGGCTGGGCTGGCTGGCATGTGGTGCTGGGGGATCAAACTGCAGTCCCTGTGCTTTGCCAAGCTTGTTCTAAGTAGGTGCTTTAGACCACTGAGCCATCTCTCCAGCCCTTTCCTCCTTTTTTAAATTGTGGTGTGATACACATGAAATTTACTGTCTTTTTAAAAAAATTTATGTATTTGGTACAGGGTCTCACTACATAGCTAGACTCATAGTGCGAACTCGAGTTATCCTTCTGTTTCAGCCTCCCCAGCACTGGAATTACAGGCATGTGCCACCACACCCAGCTTTGGTGGCTGACTAGAATGGCCAGGGGTGGAGCATACCATAGGGGCAGGCACAGCCTATGGTATCAGGCCTGCCAGGGGGATCCAACCTGTGTCCTTGTCCTTGTGCTTGCCAGGGAGGTGCTAGACCACTGAGCTATCTCCCTGGCCCAAAATTTACTATCTTAATTTTTTTTTGTTTTTTCAGTTTTGGCACTGGGGATTGAATCCAGATCTTTGCACTGAAGCTCATTCTCATTCAGTTTTGTTTTTCTATTTTGAGGGAAAATCTGGATAAGTCAGATCTACAAAAAAAAATAGATCTGTTGGGTTCTAACTTGAAATTCTTCTGCTTCAGCCTTCCACTGTGCTAGGATTTCAGGTGTGTGTCACCATACCTGCTCCTCCAACAGTGTTTACCACAGCGTTTCCCCCTCAGGGCAATCTCAGAGATCAAGAACTGTATCATTTAGTTGTCATGTCTCTAATGTAATATCCCCTCATCTAGAATAACCTTTTTCTTTTTGGTACCAGGAATTGAACTTAGGATCTTGTGCTTACCAGGCAGGCAAGTGTGCCGCTGAGCTACATCCCCAGCCCTGTCTTTTATTTCAAAGCTTACAGTTCTTTCTTCGTTTTCTTGTTTTTTTCTGTTTTTTTTTCTTTTTATTTTTAATGAGTAGACTATTTTTTATAGCAGTTTTCGCTCAGCAAAATAGAGCAGAAAGTACAAGAATCCCTGTATGCCCCCTGAAAGCTTACCAACTAGTTAGCACCCAGCACCAGTGGTTTGTTACAGTCACTGACTTAGTATTAACACATCATTAACAACATAGGTCCATAATTAAGGTTCAATTGTGTTGTACATTCTGTGGGATTTGTCCTTTTTTTTCCCCCTTCTCTCTCTCTTTTTTTTTTTTTAGCACTGGAGATGAACCCCAAAGATTACTGAGCTCTACCCCAACTAGCCCTTTTCATTTCTTCCTCATATCTTTTTTTTTTTTTTTTTTCAGAACTGGGGATTGAACTCAGGCCTTTGTGCTTGCCAGGGAAGCGCTTATTCCACTGAGCCATCTCCCTGGCCCTTCCTCATGTCTTTTT